CGCCTTGCAGCAGGAAGCTCTTGTTTTGATTGACTAAAAGCTGTTCCTCGGCTCAGTAAGTGGATACCTGGGTCCTGCTCAGCACCAAAGACAGATCTCCGTTTATCAGCAGTTAATGTCTGCTGTATTTAAAAATGAAGGTATCTCTTCCATGATGCTAAGGTATTCACAGTTATTTTTTCACAAAAATACCTAAAATAAAGGTACATTAATACAGTGAAGGGCAACTGCGGATTTCTTGGTTGCATGGATATCAAGGCTTTTATTTAAGCAGTATTCAGAAAGGGAAGTATTTTCTGTTTGGTACAGTAGAATTTAATAACTGTAAATACACCTTTAGGTTCTGAAATTTAAGCAAGGCCTCTAGAAGATCAACTGTAGCCTAAGGCTTCACTGAAATTGTATGCATATTGTATATACTGGTGAAGCAGGATTGCAACTATGTGATTTTCAACAGAACTGACCGTTGATGTGATTTGAGTTTCCATTATGGCATCAAAAATACAATAAAGCATTACTAGATGAATGTTTACTAGCTAATATACATATATTGCATATACACACTGAGACATATTTCATCTCCACATTTATTTTGAAAGTATTCCAGGTATTTCATATGATTGAACATAGCTATTTCAGTACTGCATAAAAACCCCTCATCAGCTAGATAGCAATGCCTACAGAAAAGCTCCAAAACGCATTCCCCTCTGCGAATGCAAACTCCAGTCTGCGTTTGAACGAAATTCTCTGCACCAATTCCCTTGATCTACGGACCTCCTGTGAAACAATGCTACTGTCAATGAGAACAGAAACCAGTCAATCGTAGCCAGAACTGAACACGCAAGATGGGATTTCTGTTTCTCTGCAAAACAGGTAGTTGAACTTAATTGCTTATCAGAACGGAAATCTTCCTGGGAAGCCTGTGTTAAGTGAGGCAAATCCAGCAAGACTCAAAAGGTGAAGCGCGTTGATGCTTAGCACCAAATTCTATAAAACTTGTATGTCGGCTGGTCCCCACGAGCAGCATCTGCTCACGTATGGCATTGCCATACTCTCCACAGCAGCTTCTGCTGACTCCTGTTCAAGTGTCCTTTCAGAAAATCAGCTGTTACGCCAATGAATGGTCGAGTTCAACACAAGCACAAGTATTTTCATCTTTCTTTTTTCTCCCAGCCTCTACACATGCCAACAGACACTAAAAGGAAATACAGTAACAACTTTTATGAGACTATCTCAGAACTTTGTTCTCATTCATGTTATAGAGGCTCAATTTCTGCACGCCTCAGCTGGAAAGTGAGAGGTAATTTATCACCTGCTTTCAATATGGAAGCTAATGAAATCAGTCCTTCTGGTGAAGAAGGTTAGCAGAACTCTTCTATACTATTTCCCTCTTCCTACATAGGAAGATATTAAACCTTTAATTTTGAGTGAACGAGGTTGCAAAATCATTCTACACAGAAAATCAAGTTTTGTAAACAGATTTACATTTTCAGCACCATCTGCTCCCTTACATGACCTTTTGCTTTAAACTGAAGTATTTCTTAGGACTGCACTGCTGCAGTGAAATTCTGAAATTTGCGATAATCTGCCTGCATTCAAGTTGTATTATTCCATGCCTATACAACCTTTAGCCAGTTTTACCACAGCAAATCACAAACATATTCTACCTGAAGTCCAACTTTATTATTTTTTTTTAATTAAAAGTAAAATCACATTTCACAGAACTTGCCTTTCAGTAAAACGTGAAATCTAAAGTAACTTTCTAGGAAGACAGTGTCCAAACGTATTTGAAAACTTGAACAGCTTCACGGGTGAAGCAGACACAAGTGAAAATTCCAGTACAAAGTCATGCAAGGCTTTGTGCCTCTGGAACTTGAGTAAGTTACAACGTCACAGAACAACGAACATATAAAGTGATTGTGAGTAATGAACATTTAAGTTGAATGCTTTCAATTATTTACAAGAAATTTGATTTCCTTACTTCTTTTAATATCCCAATAAAAAGATAAACAGGAAAGAACAGAAAGGACCATCATCGTAGTGCTACAAATCAGCCTGATGCAATTCAAAGCAGGAACTAAGCAAGGAAATCAACTTCTATTATTAACTAGATAGTGTCTCTAACCAAGCCCGCTAGGGAAAAGTTTACTTATTTAAATATTTGTGCTTCTTCAAGGACCAAAGTTCCATGACTAAAGCAATGAGGGATATCAATCTTCATTTGCCTTCCGCCATCACTCCTCCTGAAGGATGATAACAAATCCCGTTCATGGTGCCTGTCCATACAAGTACGAACACTTTGCATTGGAAGAGAACTTTGCAGTGAAGGGAAAAGGGAAGAGCGAGGAGGGTAAAGGGGTCTCACTGGCCCCAGCAAGACTTGCACTGCAGCATCACCAGCAGCGACTTTGACTTCTGTGCAACACGGAGTGGCAGCTAACAGCCCGGACAGCCGGGACAGCCAACAGCCAACAACTCTTCTCTTGGCCAGAAAAAAAATATTATTTCTAAATGAAACAAGGTATCTTGTGGCAATGCAAAGTCAAATAAAAACATCAGCAGCAGTATGGTAATGACATTTTTCATACTGGATGTTTAAAAGGCAGCAAAGTAAGGCCAAGCAACCCCTCTTCCCTCAACCTGTACAGTAACAATGCAGAAGTGACTTGAAGAGTGCCTGCTAGCCTGCACCATCTGCAAACTTCCCCTAAATATTTTTTCTTTAGAAATTAAAATAAAAGCATAGGTAGGGTTTTTGTTTCTTAGATCAGCTAGAATCAACCTGTCTTCTGAACATACACAAAAGCAAAAGTTATTGGCTTCTCTCTGAAATTCTTTAGCTACCCTACAAACACACCAAAGATGTACTAACATAATCTTCCAGGTGAGTCACATGACCTTGCAGATTTTTTAAACGCTCTTCATATAATTGAGGAGTTTGGTAATGATACCTGAACCAATTCATACGAACTTCTTTGACCGCAGCACAAGATTGATTTGCTGGTATTCTTCAATTCAGTTCTCACACATTTATCATCTACTGGTCTTGAACAGCCAAAATAAGAGAAGGAAATGCAGGGAAATAAGCACTTCCAAATTAATCACCTTTGCTGGACACTGAATTTCATATAAAACAAAATATATTGAAGCACAGAATGGAAAAACAGACAAGTATCTTTCCTCTCAGCAGCCAGAAAACATTCCTGATTTTTTTTTTTTAACCATAGAAATAATCTTTCTAGCTGCAATTTGTATAGATCCTGAACTCTGGCTTGCTTCTACTTCCATGAACTCGAGCAGAATACTGACTAACTTCTGAGCTGACAGAGCACGCTTTGCAAAATCCTACCGAAAAATTGTTTCATTGTTAAACAAAAAAAACTAAGCACAAAAATCAACAATCATTGAATTGTAAATAATCCTTCAGGAGATCTATAATACATCATCCCTCTCAAACCACTAAAGACTTCCACAAGCAATCCTTGGACTGGTACCAAAATTGGCTTGTTCATTGAACTACGCATACATGAAAGCAAAATTAGGACAGAAAGGATTTTGTGAAAACCAGCATTAGAGAAAACATTTTTCACATTCATTTAACATAAACTTGTCACAAGAGCATAATTGGAAACAAAAATGTAATTTACCTATAACTACATCATGGCCATCAACCAGGCCTGCAGAGAACAGCTCCTGAGAAACGCCATCTGCTGTGTCTGTCCAAAAGGTGAAACGAGTAAGTATGAGAGCCCACCAAAACAACAAAAACATCAGTCATCCAATGCCATTTAACAAAAATATATTTCAGTTCCACAACACCCATGGAGGCTGGCTTGAATTCAGAATTATCTGTAATTAGGAGGAAAAAAGATAATTATCTGATCAGCCTCTGCAAAACAAATCGCATGAGGTGATGATTTGATTCATTGCAAACCCCCTGCAGACCTCTCCTGGCCACTAGCATTTCTCTTCTATTATCTAACTGCATACTCCTACATAGATTACAAGTTCTGTATCTTCACAAGCAAGAGAATAAGCTATGTTTTGGTGGTGTTTTCACTGTTTTTTTTGTCCCCTCCATTGTTCTGCATATCTAGATAAGAGACGTGCTATATAGGTTTTCTTATTTGTTACCAGTGGGACAAAGAAGTTACACAAACAGCCATTATTTTGAGCTTTAGGCTTAAAATATCTTTTAAGTACAGTGACCCGTGGTACTCAGAGCTTTGGATCAATTTTGCACCAATTGCTGTACCTGAGTGGGTTCATTCCCAAGTCCCCGTGACTAGTACTTGCTCCTGGATAAAGACGTTAGAAGGCTTTAGAAGTAGGAGGAAACAGCAGGAACAACCCTAATTTCCACCTAAGTCTCAACTGTAATATGGCCCCAACACCAAATACTGGCGTGGAGCGCATGCTTTGAGGCAGTTACACAGTTGCATCCTCTCCTCAAGAAGCACACCCGGGTGACAAACAGTACAGCTGAGCCAGCTGCCATTTCTGGAGAGGTCTGAAGATGAGACTCACAGCAGCCTTACAGCTGCCCCAGTGACTGCCTACTGGGAACACTCCTGGTGTACGCTACTCAATTGTACCCTTAATTTTTGACCAAGTAAGAATTCTCAAAATTACTTATGTATCTGCTTAGAGAGTATTTAAGTAATTCTTTTGACAAGTAACTAAACCAAGATGCTCTGTGTCCAATTAAGCAAGAGATCTCTTTTGCTATTAGCCATCGCTAAACCCAATGAGAAATGCAGGTAGACAACAGAGAGAATATCCGTGCATAGAACTGTGCATGAAAGATACTGTGATTTACAGGAAAGGAGACATCTCTCCAATCTGGACTCATTTTTAGGTGGAAGCTCTCTGAAGGATATTCTAAATATAGTGAATACTGACTTCTGAGAAATATGAAATGTGTTCATAGTTCAAAGGGTTGCTATGTAACAAGGATGATACCATCTTACTCAACATATCAGCCTCCTGTGCATTCTATCCCAGAAATACTTCTTCAACTAAAAGTAAGTTTTACTAGTTCTTACAACTCTTAACACTGGAAAGCCAATACAGTTCTACATGCATGCAGTAGAGCTTAAAGTTTCAGTGACAGAATTTGTTTCTGGTGATTATATCAAAGCTAGAGATGCAACTAAACTTTCAGTTGAAGATAGCATTTGAAAAATGGCATGCAGTCCATACTTGTTAACAGACCTTATATTACAAAAGGGAAAGAAACTCAAATATTACCACCATCACCACATACACCCTTATGGCTACTGTATTCCACTTCCTACGATGTTTTCCACGTGTGAAAATGGAAATTCCAAAGCCATAAATATTGCTATGCAAGATCTTACACACCACATAGATCATTTCAGTAAGACATGAAATTTATAAAGTATACTGTGGCTCAAGTCTTCTAACATATACTATACATTATACAAGCTTGACACTAGAATTTACATACATCTGCTATTCTTGTTCAAGTGAAGCTCAATGGAAAGCTCTGCACAGTAGGAAATATTCAAGAGAGGCAGTCTGTATTAACCATAAGCAGCAATCACTTTCTGAAATACCTTTTTGAGTAGCAAGAGAATAATTCAATTGAAGAAGCCTTACCTCTGCCTGGAGTAAACTCAAACCGTATGTCATTAAGCTCTTTCCTGGAGTTCCTGAAAAACATCCAGTGGATACATTAAAATGTAATGAAGAACAGAACAACTACTCAGTTCCTACACCCAAAGAATACCTAAGGCATTGACAACTGCATTTCTGTACTGTGGATTTCCTCAACTTGAAAAACACTGCTTTCCCAAAGTGCCCAGCCTCCACTGCATCTTCATGGCAGTATTTTGGAAAAACAAACACAACGACACGCTTAAGGTGAAAAATGCCATGGGTAATCTAAAGGATAAAACAAGGTCTTCTGAGAAATACTTTCCTTTCCATCTTCAAAAGACACTCTACCACACTGATTCTCCTACTTCAACAGTCTGACTTGTGTGCATTACCCCTTCTCCTTCAACGGTAACAAAATGTTCCCTTGGACTTAAAGAGAGACTGAGACCACATGTATACAGAGATGCTCATTAAAGCACCTAGCAAACGTTAAATACTGAAAAGGAGTGTTTGATGCATTGTGTTTATAAAGCTGTTCTGAAATGAGTAACTTCTTTCACTGACCACCATTGCCTCAGCAGTGGGGTTCCATTTACACATAAAATAAGCAGCAGAGTATGAAAGCCAAAGGTTTTCTGCCCTCCTGTTTGCTACGAAGAGTGCATTAAGCAGTCCAGTGTGTGACACAGCCACAAAGGACTTAATGCCCACGTTAAGGAATTCCTTTATAGTCTTGTACTGTGCTCCAAACCGCCATTCCTTGCACGTTTCCAGACTCAGTTTTAGTTAATAATTTCTACCATCAGTAAAGCATTAGCCTCTTCCCAAAATAGACGTCCATCTCATTTTGGGAAATGGCAAGCCAACTGAGCACAGGGATGAACTTAATTGCTGTAGCAACCTCTTTCTCCGATGAATAGCTCAATCCACTTGAAAAACTAATAGCAACAGAATGTGTTTTGCAGTCCATTATTCTTCTCCTCAGCAAGGAAACTATGCAAGCTCATATTTCAGTGTACCAGAGGCCATGAAGTTTTGCTGTGGGAAAACTAAATCAAAGAGGCAAGCATTCTCAGCTGTGACTTACAGCTATTATCACTTGCTAAATACTTAAAAAATATTAGAGAGTCAGAAAACAGCAAGATGCAGGAACACAAAACGATTGGCACCACAGACAAAAGCAAGACGGCAAACTCTGAGAAATAAGTGTGCTACATGCAGCGCTCAGAATGAAAAGTACTCATTTACTGAATATACGGAATGGTTCAAAGCTGAAGCAGTTTCAGGCTCCCAAAATTCTACTCTAAATAAAAAACTACAGGAGTTTAAGATCACAGAAAATGCAGCTAGCCAGGTACAGATTTGTGAGTGTCATTCACTTACGTTGTAGAAATGTGCTGCTATTACACAGAATATTGCACAGTCTATTTTTATTCAGCAGAGAATTAGTATGAATCTCAGTTCTTCTTTCTCCCTCTCCTAGAAAAACTTGGATGGCTTAATGTTAAAAAAAAATCAACATATGACCCATCTCTGAGTTCCCTTTTGAAAATCCACTTCCCTTTGCTGAAATTGATTAAATCTAAGCTTATTACAACTGTCGCTTTCCAAAAAAAGGAAAGTTGCATAGAAATGCAGCATTCCTCTTAAATATGTTTTGACTGAATGTGAGATGCAGCTCAGACTGAGATACTCATTTCCTGCACACACTTTTGAAGGAGCAAATTAAGGGAACAAAAACTTTCTCTCACACCTTTGCAGAGGTAAACCGGAATGTTTTGCTTCTTATTAGCACCTGTACTGAATTGCTCCAATCTGCGTATCTTTTTTCACATAGAGTCAAACACTCAAGCCAGCTGTGAAGTAATTCTGTAGGTTTGCACTCTCACAGTTAGCTATCTAGAAATTAATACCTTACACTCTCAGATTATATCTTTCAAAAGACTTCCCATAAGTAGAGCGTTCACCATATAAAAAGGCACTAAGCGATTCTGAAATCCCATGAGAATCACCAGCTTTCTAACTGACTGATACAGCTCTGCAAAGGACCAATGCCCTAATGCAGACTCTTCTCGAGCAGGACACAAATGGGTGTATTTTACTTTGTCTCCAAGTTGCAGATTGTCCCAAATAAAAAGTTTACAAGCCGTATCTGTTTATTTAATTTAAGGTGAAAATTCAAGGAAGGTTGACATGTATTCAGCCACCCAACTTTGCTAACTGGAACTGTTAGACTCCGAACTGTTTTGAACTTAGGACACTGCTGCTTTCTCTTTAATTGTACACTACTATCCAGGAAAGCAAAACAAAGGAAGTTTGGCAAGATTAATTTGCTAGAAGTCTGTAAGTGCTTTAGCTTCCAGTTCCATTACCTTCCAGACATTTATTGATTTCCATAAATTATTTATTCCATTACATATTCCACCAAAGAGAAGATGCACTCGACTTCTCCCCTAAAAGCTGTTCATGCTCTTCTCCAGTCTTCAGACACTTCTCTGGTTCTAGTTATGTCACTGTTACTGCAAATCAGTTTGCTAGTTCCCTTGATTCACTCTGGTGACAACTGTTTGGACTTGTTGATTTATTTGTAGGCAGTGTTTCCAAGCAGCGTTTCATTTGTTCCACTGGAGTTCTCTTTTTACTTACATCCATTACACTCTTATCATGCAGCAGCACACACAGACTTTATTTCTGCTAAATAGAACTAGGATTTGAAGAAAGGCACTTAGTATCTTTGTGATTAATATTTTTATCTTCTTCATAATTTCTTAATGGTCCCTAGTTTCTCTAATGCATTTGTGAAAAAGTTATTTCTATTTTAAAATGCAAAACTCAGACCTTTTTGCCATCTCTTATAAAAATATCTTATTTGCTTCTTACGCTGTACCATTACAGATTAATATACCTTGATTATCGTGGATAAAATTAGCCCATCTCTTCTAAAAAGCAGTAAATGTTAAATACTTTATGCATTTTAGCATACTGCAGTTTATTCATTTCCTGCAGGTTGCTTTTCATCACGCAGTCAACTCCAACAGGAGGAATTCCACAAAACTGCTTTGGATAAGGGTAACACCAAAGCACGCCATGCTAAGACGTTTTGGCAGACACATTTCTTGCAAAGTAACTTCAGAATTTAAACCCGTACAATTTATGAAAGCATATTTTGCAAATCTTTGTTATTATTTTATTTTCATCAGGGCCACTTGATGTGCACACTAAGATTGCTAGATCTGATTTTCTAGGGAATGATGCTTCCTTGAAGAACCAGGAAAAGCACACGGGCCAACTTCATCCCTTAGACCCTGCTATGAACTTAGGCCATCCTGGCATCAGGATATGAAACAAAGATGTTATGTTTTGAAGGAAATTATTTGCAGAACAGTGCCGATAGTTACAAAAGTTGGGATTAAAGAATAAACAAATTATGCAGCTGTTCAGATTCACATGGTTCTACTGCAAAAATCTTAAGACATGAAAGAGATTTCAGGTGTCCGCATTTAAAGACAAAGCCTTTCAAAAAAACACCTAATGACAGCATAATTGTTGCTCTAGTCAAGTAACTATGTTCCACATGCTTGATAAAATAACTAAATTGTTGAATTTAAAAAAGGAAATCATGTTTATGTAATGATGCAACTGGAAACTGGAAACATTAAATGTCGTTTCTTTTGTCCTTAAATGCAGAATGTCAATCACGTAAGTGAGATTCAAGAACATCAGGAGTCTTGGAATTAAACTTCAGGTCTAGATCATGCTGGGATAGCTTGATTATGTATCATGCAGCATATTTTCATTCTTTTTTACCACTACTTCTTTTTCCCCACAAATTTATCTACCACTTCTTATGCAGAGTGATCTGAAACATCAGCTTCTATTTCCCACAAGCTTCAGCATCTCCCATGAAGCCCTTAGGGAGAGTCTGTAATCCTGGATGAGACGCTAAGTAACTGTATAGCCCTCCTTCCTAAAATAAGAAAAAAAATCTCAAATAAGGTAAACCAAAAGAAGGGTGTGTGCAGGCGTGTAAGAACACACAGGTTTTGTCTCTGCATGGCTTGCTGAATTTTCAGACTTCAGCTACGCAATCATCACACGTGGTTTACAAAGCCTGAGACAGGGAGATGAGTGTCTGAGAATGCAGGTGATAACAGAATGGTAATCAACAAAGCTGACTTGGGAACCAGTTCAGAGTACACATGCGTCGCATGGAAACCCCGTCATTTATGGCTTTTGATTGGTTATGGCAGAAGAAGATTGCCTTAAAATTCTCTTATTTCGGATGGAGTCAGAAACCATAAATCACGGGCACTCCCCCATCATCATCAGTTCCACCACTACGTCATGGAGACAGCAAGCACTGCCCAGACTACATTACAGGCACTGTCGACATCCGTGCTTTCAGTCAATGGCCACTTGCTTCCGCCAGCGTTTCACAAATTCATCCCATCATGAATCTTCATTTTCTTAATCAACTGCTACTTTTCAATTCAACCGCTTAATCCTCCTTCCCCATCCCTCCAATGAGAAACCAATCCAAAATCTTAGCTCTCATCATCCCCATTCTTGTCCACTTGCCTGTATACGTAAAAGTATATTGGTTTACACCAACATTATCCGGCTTGGATGCTAACCATTCTTTTCATTAATAGAAAATACATTTTTCTGTATTACAGTTATCCAATTCTAACAAGGCATAGGAATATTCTCTACTATCTCTCCCCTCCAAAATTTGAACTGCATTGAAACTACCACAGCAGCAAACTATGGAAGACTGGAAAAAATGAAGACGGCACAGTTTGAGAACCAAAGGCAAGCAGTATGGTATTCGCACTGCCTCACTGCAGTTGCCTGTGTAATTAGAACCACAGAAGCACTTGAATGGCTTGCTCATTTAGACTGCAGGAAAGCAGAAGTTCACATCACAATGGAGTGGACTACCCAGAGCGATAGGTAGGTTTTACATCCTACAGCTGGATTCATCCAATTGACACTCTACATCTCCGGTGCAAGATCTTTGTGTCCGCAATGCAATCACTATAATTAAGGGAAA